TATGGGAATTAAAACATCGCTGTCGACGTCGCGTCGACGTCGTTGTCACCGTACTGCAAAGTGGCGTCGGCGTCTGCGACTGCGTCGGCAGCGAAAATAGCCGAACGCTACGGCTGCACTGTGCGGGCACGCGAGTAATTAACGAAGCGTGAATTCCAGTGCTGTGAGCGAGCGCATTGCGTGTTTTGTATTAAAGGTGCAGAGCGGGTGGGTTTGTTTACAATTCGCAAATGCGGGAGAGCTCAGTGGAAGGCTGGAAGTGACGGCGGTTGGAAATTCAAAAAGTTTAAAACGGAAGTGCGTTAAGTTTACATAACTGTGAAGGTTAAAGTTCTCAATAAATTTGCGTGACAATAAAATAATGAGTTTTTGAGATCAACTTTGATTTATGGAACTAAGATAAATAAGAATTGTATAACCTTTTCACCTTCTGCTTAAAATAATTAATTTTTGGCATTTGCTTTCTTCTACTTTTTCCTAGAACATGTCTCTTTTTGCACGTGGACGCGAGACTAAAAAGAGAAACAGTGTGGTGATAACGGTCCCTCCGCTGGTAAAGAAATCGAGCAAGAGCCGTTCCTTTCATTTCCGTTATTTAGAGCTGTGCCGTGCCAAGAACTTGACACCAGTGCCAGACATACGCTCCAATCCGAATGCAACCACATTTCTCGATTTGCTGGGTGATAAGCTGGGCGTCAGCGAATGGCTACTGATTATCGAGGCACTGCACTATGATCTAGTGCTACAGACATTGGCAATACGCATGCGCCGCACCAATGGAAACAGTGAGTGGTGTCTGCACCAATAATATATGTGTATATATTATATATTAATATATTTTGAATAGATATTGTTTTACCAATTGACACTGAAAACCGTGCACGACTCTTCCGTCAAAAGCCGGTCATATATACGCGTTTTATTTTTAACAGTCTAGTGGATGCGATCTCCAATTGTGTTAAGCTCAACAAGAATCTCACCGTGTTGAAGCTTGAGGGTCTGCCTCTGCAGGATGGCTACATTGAGTGCATTGCCAAGGTAAGGAAATGCCCAACAATGATTTGAAATCTAATAAGCTTCTGTATAAGATCTATGCATACTAAGTTACCATATATACCTTGAGTATTTCATAGGGATTTATTTCAACGATAATAATCATTCCGTTTCAAGGGTGGCAGATATATATACAACAGATAGGACTTTATGTACCCTGAAATTTCGTAACTTTGCAATAAGATTAATATATCCCGTTTACCTATTCTCCTAGGCTTTAGCCTCCAATGACTGTCTCAAGGAGGTCAGCTTCCAGAAATCCTACATTGGCGACAAGGGCTGTGAGGCAGTTTGCAGTACCGTCAAATACTTGAATCACGTGGAGATATTCAACATCTCCGAGTGCAATATTAGCTCAAAGGGTGCCGAATATGTTGCTGATATGATTAAGGTATGTGATTGGCTTCAGATCTGAGCTGGACTGGGTGGGTGGTAAACCAAGTCTTTGCAGATGCAAAAGATAACGCGGTACTCCGAGGGTTGGGAGAAGTCGCTGCGATATCGCAGCGTCGATGTTGATTCGATTGCGGGTCTACGCTACATCGCGGTGGCCAACAATCCGGACTTGGGCGACAATGGAGTGCGGCCAATAGCCGAGGTGCTCAAGGAGGATGCCTGGGTTAAGAGTGAGTAGACTAAGGGTAAATTTGCAATCAACTCTGAATCCGAGCACATTCATCCAGCCGTCGATATGGAGAACTGCGGCCTGACCGACTGTGGTGCGAACATAATCCTCGAGTGCCTCAGTCTGAACAGCGCCATCACCGAGTTCAATGTGCGCCATAATGCTGGCATTAGTAAGTTCCTCATGCGCCAGATACGCGATCATTTCGGCAAGGAGGACGAGGAGAAGATGAAGGAGCCGAAGTACGATTTGAGCTGCATCAATGGCCTGCAGAGCTTGCCGAAGACCCAGAAGTACAGCATCTCCCAGCTGCTCGCGCACACCAAGACGCTGGAGGAGCAGTTGTCCTTGGAGCGCACGTTGCGCAAGAAGGCCGAGAAGCTCAATGAGAAGCTCAACCATCAGCTGATGTCCATGGGTCAGGTCGCATCGGCTCCGTTGATTCCATCACCGCCGTTGCCGGAGAAGGTGGTCGAGACCACAGCTCTGCCCAAGGGATATGTGCTAGTGAAGAACGACTACATGCAGTCCTTCAACAAAACGTAACTAACCATCGAATACTTAGTCTATGCATTTTTAATTCCTGCAGTCCTCGTCTGCTCAGCAGCTATAAAAATGGGCCCCAGCTGGTCACCCCCTCCGGACCCCTGGTCAATAGCGCTGTCACCAGCTCGGACTCCACGCCACGCAGCGCCAACGCAACTCTACGGAAGCAACAGCAGCAGCAGCAGCAACAGCAGCAACAACAGCTCCAACACCACCTGGAGTTGTCGCCTGAGGATCTGGAGGTGGACGTGGAGGATGATGAGGAGGACGAGGACGATGAAGAGCAGCAACAGGCATATCAAGCAATGGCCGATAATCCACAGTTGCGTCAGCAGCTGCAGGTGCGCAAGGTGCGCAGCGAGATGAAGTATGTGGAGGCATATGCCAAGGAAGCCAAGAAACGTGAATCCAAATCGGATCATGAGTTCGCCAACGAGCGCGATGTAAGACCTGATAGATAAACCATTGAAATTTCTGTTGATAATTTCTCATGCCTCTTGCAGTTCAAGCTCAATCCGAATGTCCAGTTCGAGGTGGACATTGGCGACAGCTGCCTGGTCAATGAGCACCAAATGGAGCGCGAGCGCTACGAGAGCCGTGAGGAGATCGACTACTATGAGCACCAGGAGATGATGCAGAAGCAGCACAGCAACTCACACTATGAGCCCGAGTGCATTGGGGATTGTGTGCGCAACGATAGTCACAAGAATAGTGCCAAGATCAAAAAACAGTATGGCGAGATAGGCAACAGCCAGATGGCCTTGTACATGGCCGAGCTGGAGCGCAAGATCAATGGCAAGTCGGCCAAGAAGCGTCACAAATCGAAGCAATCCATGGACTCGCCGCACGGACGCGAGGTGAAGAACAGCGACTATGTGCATGTGGAGACCTTTATGGCCAATATGGAGCAGTCTTCGCAGGACTCGCCAAATAACGACTCTGACTCCGAAGGCGAGAAGACGGAGAGCACGACCCGTGGTGCCCAGTCGGACGGCAATGGCAACGACAGTGGCAGCGGCATGCAAGGCATGAAAGTATTCGTACGCCGCACTTCCCACTACGAGGAGGATCAAGAGGAGATCATTCAAGATAAGGATGCTGGCGATCAGATTGTCTCGCCGCGCACCGTCTACTTGGAGCTGCAGAGAAAAAAGCCTGAGAAAAATCATTGAATACTAAGCCGGGGCCCTCACAACACACAACATAACACAACACCTAAAAACTGGAAGTATTAGTAGTAGTCCAAACAGCTCGAAATGATAAAGGAGGAAACCAAGCGCCCCACCATAAACAAAACATTCAGAGCGTAGGACCAAATTTTCAGTTACCATTGAGATCCATTCTAACGCTTGTAGATATTGATTTTGCACGTATTGTTGCGATTATTATGTACATATATAGATATATGTATATATATTTATTGATATATTTATATATATGTATGTGTATATGTATATATATTGGAATATTAATCTATTCAGCAGTTAATTGAGTAATCTAAAAAAAAAAAAAAGAACACGAATGTCAAGCGCCAAGATTTATGCAATTTTGTTAATAGCAGAAGCAGAAGGAACACGAAACGAACGAACGAATCCACTGCAAAGCGGCTGCACGAACGTTACGATCAAACTCCCAATTTAGCCCCCCAATTGAAATTGTTAATAAATCAGTATTTGCGCCTTCCTCGAATGATTTATTGGCCTTTTGATTTTTTTTTTCCGCTACTGTAGAATGTTATAATGGAATATTTACTTATTTGTCAATACATTATGTAGTTCTGCTACTGTTTAAATTTTCTCAATTACATGAGTTTAAGTTGATTGAGGATTAAATATGTCTGCTGCATTTATATCATATTTATATATGTATAGTATATGTGTATTGATTAATTCCAATCCCTTTCAATTGATGCGTCATTCAACTCTTTCTATGTCATCGGCTCCTGCTGCTGCTATTGCTGCATTTAACCGCCAAAGCCGTACAGAGTGCGTCCCTGGCGCTTCAAGGCGTAGACCACGTCCATGGCTGTTACGGTCTTGCGCTTGGCGTGCTCGGTGTAAGTGACAGCATCACGAATGACGTTTTCCAAGAACACCTGAAGTATTGGATATTAGGGTGGTTGTGCATTTTTATGTATGACTAAATGACTTGCCTTGAGTACACCGCGTGTCTCCTCGTAGATCAATCCAGAAATTCGCTTGACTCCACCACGACGAGCCAGACGCCTGATAGCCGGCTTAGTAATACCTTGGATGTTATCTCGCAACACCTTACGATGGCGCTTGGCACCTCCTTTGCCCAATCCTTTACCTCCCTTACCGCGTCCAGTCATTTTGCTGATAGAAGTTTAGATTTACGTTGTGCTGAAAAGATACATACATTTCATCATTAGACGGCGCAATGCAAAAAAAAACAGGAATCGCCATTTTGATATGACGCCATATTTGAAACGTAAATGAATGCAAAAATATTTATATACAATGTGTTTTACGAGCACGCAAACAGACTGATCTAGTTTAATTACTTGCTAATAATTCAAGTCAACAAAAATTTTCTTGTTTTTTTTTTTTTTTACAATTTGTTGCTGAAACGCTCACCAACCTTTCGAGAAATTTTTTAAGCAATGTGACTGTGTTATTGAACGCGTTAGATCCCAAAAAATACACAGTATAAAAAGTACATATATTTGGTTTAAAAAAAATACCAAAGCACAGGGTGACTTGGTTGGGTGATTTTTTATATTTAAGCTTAAAAATTTAAAATACAAGCCATTTTTACACTGTTACTTTAAATATTTGAATATTTAGCTTAGCTGCCGGCTAGACTCATAACTGTACGATGTAGCTGCTTTTTTTGGTATTTAGCAATTACTTGCATAATTTCCATTTTTGCGTCGATTTTTAAATTTTCGTCCAGTTCAAAAACATCTTGTGCAACGGCCATGCCATAATGAAAACTTGGCGTGCTTTGTACATCATCTATTACGGGCTCAATGGCTATAGGTGTTGTCTCCTCAACTTCGGCATCATTATCCTCCATTGGCACATTTAGCTCCTCAATTCCAACTTGCTTTGGCGTATTTTCTACGGAACTGCTGCATTGTGAAATGTGTTCGGTGGTTGACTGTGTAGGACTACCAGAATCGGCATTAGTTTGACTTTCCTCAACCATGCCAGAACTGATATTATCCGAGTCCTCTGTGTTGGCGCTATCATATAGATTTTCCGCCTACAGTTTCATTTTATAACATTTTAAATTAAATACAATAAAATCAAATTTCAAATACACTTACATCCACACTGTTCTTATCGTACACCACGAAAGGCAGAAACTTGAGCTGCTGGAAGAACTTCCATCCTTCCAGGCGCTTTATTTCCTCAGGCTGTGCTCCTCGCGCATTTGCATCAAAAATGGCCTTTTGCTGCAGACGGTAGTACGAAGCTAGATTTAGCCATTTCCGAGCCAACTCGTTTGTATAGGCACGAAATTTATATCTTTTTTCCAGCGTCCATCTCAGGTTTTTCCAGAAGTTGTGTTTTAAATAACGGATGCTATAATCTTTGTGCGTCTTGTCCCACATGTAGGGTGTATTGCGAATTGTTGTAATAACGAAATTAATCACTTCATCGGACCAATATGGTCTCGTATTATCGTATACATTTGTCATTTGTAATGTTTAAGAAGTATTTGATTTTTATTTATTTTTAATTTTGTTGGATTGTCTACACTTAATCCAATTTTCTTATAAACTGCAGCTGTTTTCAATAAGAGCGAGACAAATATACATGTGTTTGGTAAAATACTATACATATGTGTGCATATGTGTGTGCTTATCGTCTTTAAAAACTACCAAAACAATAACAGTTATGAATGAGGAAATGAATTGTATCGAATGCAACAGCTTCCTTTTAATTATAACAGCAATAAAGGAACGCATTTGTTCGCCATAACTTTTATTTTAAACAATCAACCAATATCTCCTGATTTTTGAATAAATTTGCCATTAGTATCGATACTTAGTTGGTTATTTTGATATTGATATCGAAAATGTTTGATATCGATTTATCGATAGCTCAGCTTAGTATTTTCATTAGAAAAATATTGGCATTTCATCGAGTGACACTGCTGGTCACACCACAAACAACGCAAGTGCAGTCGAAAAAAAAGCATTGAGTGTAACAGACGCGTTTTTAACGCTAGTTTTTTAACCAAAACAAGTGTAAGTGAAGCGGAGCAGAAGTGAAAAATCTAATTAGATCTAAATAAAATGCACATGCTCGGTTATATAATGCAATGAATGCAGCCACAACTATGTCGTGCCTGAGTGTGCTTATGCGAGTGCATCGAAATACTTTGGTCGCCTCAGTCTTCTACTGCTGCTGACCAACAGTAAAAAAGACCAACGCGTGTGCCGCTGCCGCTGGTTTCGTCGTCGCTGTCGCCGTCGCCGTCACCGCCGCCGCTGCCGCCTGCAAAGCAGAATTTGTCGCCGCCGTGAAACGAGCGCCATCGCAGCGCAACGCAAAGAGCTCGCCGTGACTGCATAAAGAATAAAATATTTTACTATTAAACCGCGTGTCTGGAATTCTAAATAAACGCATATATACATATAAATAATATGTAAAATCGTGTTGCGCATTTGTGTGCGTGTGTGTCTGTCTGTGTGTGCATTTGCGTGGGTGGATATGCGGCCGCATTTTGCTTTATCTTTATATCTTTCATCAACACAGGCGCAAGCCAGATGATTCATTTGTTACACACTCGGCGGCCGCTCAGCTGTCGCAGTCTGCTTCTCTACGCGTATCCTGCTAGCACATACACAAACAAACATAAGCACATGCACACGCACACAGACGCATAGTCGGATGCTCGTATACGTATATTCGCCCATTTGTTAAATTAACCGTAAAACTCAGTCGGCAGTCAGCTCTGTTGTCTGTCCTCTTTTCGCCGGCTGCTTTCCATTTCCATTTCTATTTTTACGCGTGTTTCAGTTTCGGTCCATTCCCTAATTTTAAATCGGTTTGTTAAAACTATTTAATCCTGTTTAAAATTTTATGTTTCTCCTATCGAAACACTAGCAATTGTATTAATTCAACGGTTATTCAATTTAAACTTCCATTTAAAGGTAAGTTTTTGTTAAATGCCCTGCATGTAATTGTTAATTGTTGTTTAACTTTTTTACCGTTGTAATCTGATCTGAAGTTGATAATTAAAGTTAACATTCGTCTGAAAGTTGCTCCTAACTCTATATAATGAGGATAAGTGTACATACATATGTACAAATATAACATACCATATCTATATAATATAATGAGAGTTATATAGTTATATATTCAACGTTGTAATCACGATCTGAAAGTTTTATAAATATACTATCCGTCGAGTGTTATATCATTCAGCTTCTGTCATGCTGTCTCAGAGAATTTAGCTTCTGCGCTAGAATACCTAAATTAGGAGAATTTATATTTCTGTGAATCATATTATTATGTTTTCTATTTCGTGAGCAATGACGATAAAATTTTCCATTAGCTTCATATTATTACTTTATACCGAGTCTTGTAGCATTCAGCTTTTGTCATGCAGCTGCCCAAATTCAAGTTTCAAGTTTTGTTTCTATCACATTCACTAGAAGAGTTGGCGCATAGTTTCTGAGGCATCATGGGGCTATGCTTTTTTTCTGAAAGAGCAAATTATGATCAAGTTTTATTAATGCACCTTCCATCGAGTCTCGTAGCATTCAGCTTTTGTCATGCAGCTGCCCTATCTCAAGTTTCAAGCAAATATAAATATCTCTACATGTTTCATATATATCGGTAAATAGTTATCGAAATCGAGTATTACTTATCGAAATTGATTGGTTGATAAACGGATGGCTTGACATTGATGTACCTTACATAGAGTCTCGTAGCATTCAGCTTTTGTCATGCAGCTGCCCTAGTTAAATTATTAAGTTTCGTTTTTGTACATAAGGCTATGCCTTTTATTTAGGGAGTAAATTCTGATCAATAATTTCACAACTTTCATAGATGTACCATCGCGTGTCATATCATTCAGCTTCTGTCATCATTAATATATTTTCTATTTCATTAACAATGGCATTGATGCACTTTACATCGAGTCTTGGCATTCAGTTTTGTCATGCATCTGCCCAAACTATATCTTTGTGGATTTATATATACTTTATAGAATTTCGGCTTTTATTATAATTCACCATCCACCCCTATATCCGCCCCTCACCCTTAAATTTGTAAAAGTTTCACGAAGTTAGTCCAAACCTGCGTGCCTGTGTGTGTGTTTCTTATGTGAACAGAAGGACGCGATGAATATTTGATATATCAGTTCCTCGTAGGGTTCAGGGGATTTCGTAGTCGAGCAGTCTCGGCTAGAGCTTTTTTACGTGTTATTCTTTGTAAATAGCATTAAACTGCTATACTCCAAGATATTTACGTATCTATAGCCTTTTTAAATACATTGTTTATTTTTATTTTTTATAAATATTAATTGAAAAAAGTTGTGTTTTTTGTTCATAAACTTTCCTTGCTCGCTTGTCAATTGCATTTTGCATAAAGTTGTCTCACACTTCAACCTACAATTATTATTGTACAAAGGCTTTTCCATATGTAAACAGCCCAAGTTGTGTGTGTGTGTGAGTATGAGTGGGACTGCGTGTGTATGTGTGTTTACACTGAAGAGCTGCGAAACAGAAAAACTAGACCAGAAACATAAATGTCATTCACGGCTGCCATTAGCGTAAAACAGCAGAAGAACGCAGCAAATGTAAATCCAGGGCAAAACAAAAAATAACAATACAAAAAGAAAAGAATTCAAGAAAAAACGAGAAAAATATAGAGCAAAAAGATGAAAACCCTGAGCCGATAAGCAAACTGCAGTCAAATGTGCAAGCAAAGAACTGAAACTGAAACAATCGGAAGAGGGCAACTCCCTGCTCTAAGCTCCGACCTCCAAGCTGCCAACTGGGAATCCAAGCACAAGTCGGAGGAAATGGGTTTTGGCGCAACAAAGCCAACGATAAAAGACATTGAAATACAATAACAGTAAATGTCAGAAACTGGAGCAATTTCAATTGAGAGCAAAAGGAATTTATAGAATATGACATCATTTAGGGCCTAAACAAAAAAATACGAAAATTTCAATTCAAAGTTTGAAATTGAGCCGGAAAGCTGCCAAGCTGTATGTAATACACTGTATATACTACATTATCTACTCCTGTAAATACTATAGATATTTAAATTGAAATTGAAAATGCTCTTCAGATAATGCAATGTGCTTGAACCACTTGAAAGCATTAAATGATGGCAACAAATACTAAGCAAAGGAAAACTGATAATCAAACTTGAGATAAACGATATTTAAGTGTATTAATACGTGTATGTATATCTATATATAGACAGTTCTAGGGTCAAGCAAATTATTACAATTCATCTTTCATATGGGAATACCTAAAGGCAGTCAAATAGTAGATTACACGTTATCTCTGCACACTTTTAGATAATCTAAATTTATATAAAGATTTTGCTGACTTTCGCTTTGAAATATATTTTCGAATAAATAAAGATAAGATATATGTTTTTTTATTTATTTATTTTTTATACCAATATTTTTTTTCTTTTATTTTGATTTTTTTATCGCCTATGAATGTGGGAATAGGTAAAAAATGTTAAATAAATAAAAAGCTTTCACGCATACAGACACAGGACATACGGGGGATAGATAGATCGACATATACACAGGCAAAGGGAAGGGTGATAAGACAAAGACTAGGATAGACAATGGCAGAGTAAAGGAGGAGTAGACAGACGATGTACAGTTAGGAAAAGGAAAGTATGGATAGACACGCATACATATATATGAAGGGCCACATCTACTCATCTGAGAATTCTGATCAAGCATATAAATAATTTATTGGTTTGACCGTGCCTCCGTCATAAAATTCACCACATAAATACCTCGATTTCAGACTTCCCAGGGTATAGAAAGAGAGCTTACAACTTTAAATGCAAATGAGCAGAGATAAAATAAAATAAATCTCTATCTCYACATAATTTGTATTTAATTGCCTAGACGATGCATCGGTTGATGAACTCGTGCAACAGCAACAGCGACAGCGACAACAATTGCAACTGCTGCCGAGTGTGGCAACTGAATGACAAGAAGCAGACAAGCGACTGCATTATGCATGCTGCGACTCAGGACAACAACTCGTCACGTCTGATAACAATAACTAAGTGCGCGAGTACAAGAGACGATGATACTTCATACACTATATATACTACTATATAGTATATATTTTATATGTAGTAACAGCATTTAAACCGCGATGCGATGCGATACGGACGTTTTCTTGAACTCTGTGCAACGTAAGTTGTTGTTGTTGCAGTCCGTTGGAGTTGCTGACAGTCGGAGAGAAAGATGGACAGACAGGCGGACGGGCAGAGAGCGTGAAGTTAAGTAGCTTTCCTTGCCACTTTCAGCTGTGTGGCAACAACGACAACGAGGACAAAGACACAGACACATATATAAACTCAACGCAACTCAATTCCGTTTTCCTCTGTTTAAATAAAGTGAAAAACTTATTTTTCATGCCAAAACTTTTTGCTTTCCTTTCGTTTAACGCTGCATGGTCCGAAGTTTTTGTCTATTGATAAGATAATTGAAAGCCTTCACAATAAAGATAACCCCAAATTTAGAAATAGGTGCTGACACAATTGTAATT